TCAGATTTATCCTAGCTAGAAGCCAAGGGCTACAGCTAAGAGCTGTCTCTTTCTCTCCTTCGGTCCAATGGATCAATAATGGTCCTCATGTGTCGTGGACTACAGCATTAACCTAACCTAATCTAACCCTATTCCTTATTCCAATCGCTAAGTATTCTCCAATAGTTTACCATCTTTGGGTTTCCAATCCTTGTTTCGCCTGACTAACGAAGAGAAAGAGACATGTTGGATCTCTTGTGTCTGTTCAAGTCTGTGCTAAGCCAGATTTGGCTTTCCTCAAGCATATTTTCTTTTGGATCCATCAGATTTATCCTAGCTAGAAGCCAAGGCCTAGAGTCAAAAGCTGCCTCTTTCAGTCCTTTGGTCTGTGGGACATATGCGGCATCACAATCAACATTAACCTATCCTAATATAACCCTATTCCATTCCAATAGTTTACCACCTTTGGGTTTCCAATCCTTGTTTCGCCTGACTAACGAAAAGGAACAGACAGTCTTGCATTTCTTTTGGGACTGTTCAGCTCTCTGCTTAGATAGATTTTGCGTTCGTTAAGCCTATTTTCTTTAGGATCCATCAGATTTATCCTAGCACGGAGCCACGGCCTAGAGTCAAGTGCTGCATCACTCACTCCTTTGGTCCAATGGATCATTAATGGCCCATGTGAGTCGAGGACTACCGCACTAACCTAACCTAATCTAACCCTATTCCTTATTGCAATCGCTAAGTATTTGCGAACAATTTATTACCTTTGGGTTTCAATTTAACTGCAATCTCGCATTCAAATCCTTTTATAAAACATTTTTTTAATAGCAAAACTGCAAACGCAGCGAATTCATTCAGGAACTGAAGCATTGTCCAACTCTGATCCCGATTGCCATGTTTTCGCTTCCTCTTTTTCGCTGTGGATTTATGGCGCCCGAGCAGGGACCCAACCGCTGCAGAGCGGGACGCATGCAGCAACAAGCACTACAATAGTTTAATTAACATTAACGCTGACGCCGACGCCGACGCCGACTACTGATGGCAATAAAAAACCATTAAAAGGAATTTATTTTAAGGACCGAGCCGGCTATAAATCACATTACACGCCGCTATAAAAACAAAGCCAACAAAAATCTAACAAGGGGCGGCGGCGACGGCGGCGGCGTCCGTTAAAAGCTCTCGGCTTGTGGGCAGGTGCCTGTTCTGGCTGACTGGGGGCGTGGCAGTGGGCGTTCTCTCCTCTTTTTATATTTCGTGGATAAGACTGTTTTGTGTATCGAAAAAATCAATGTGCATCCCTGGCGAGGATGGGCGTCAAAGGGCTGCACAGCTGTCGGGAGAGTGCGAATACATAGTAGTAAAATTTTTTTTATTTATATGCATAGTTTGTTGCCATTTGCGGGGGCGGGGGCGGGGGCGGGGGTGTGATAAAACATCAACGCGTTGCGTTAAAAGCGCTGGCATTAAAAATTACGACGAACTGTTAATGGGAATACCGGGTGCCCGGGCCGGTAGAGCTACGAGCGTGCGTGTACTGCCAACGGTTGCTTATCAATAAGTGTGTGTGTGTGTGTGTGTGTGTGTGTGGGGAGGAGGGAAGGACTTATACAAAGTCGTATTAAAACAGTCACTTGTTCAAATCATTTTGCACATATACCATAATTTATTTGCCAGTAAAAAGTCTAGCCCTCGCACTCTCTCTCTCTCTCTCTCTCTCTCTTTGTCATGCGTTCGCGAGAGTTTTATGTTGTTCTGCTTTGTGCTGCATCCGCAAACGTTCTGCTGGCTGCAGCATGCAAGACTCTTTTTCGATTAAAGAGTAACGTTAAATTTCAGGCCAATTTTTGCGTGCTGCTCCCTGACAGCTGCCCAGTGTATTCAGCATCCGTTCAGTATGTTCCAATGTGGTCGGGGCGGATCCCTAGCACAGGATATATGAAACAATACAACCATAAAATTGACTGGCAGAAGGAAACACATTGATTTGCCATTTGAGCGCAAATTCACGGCAATAAAATCAGCGTTGGCTAAAGTTTTTTTTTAATGCCACTTTCAATATTTGTTTTAGCACTCACACACACACAGACGCGCACACACACAGAGAGAACTTCCCCTGCTTTTCCCACTGTAAGTTGTGGTTGTTTTCCGCCCTGATCCATATCCCATTCCGATGGCAATTGTAAAACGCGTTGTGTAATCGAAACTTTTAACGATTTGATGCGATTCGAAATTGTGTAATATTGAGGCACTAATACTCAACCAAATGGAAATCGAGTGCCCGCACACACGTCTGCATATGTGGAGTGTGTTTGCCTCTCTGTGTATGTGTGTGTGTGTGTGTGTGTGTGTGTGCAAATAAATAGCAGTGTGTATATCCCCATTGAGGGTCCTTCAGATACATTTAACAGCGCTAAAGTAGCGCTACGTTCGATGTGGTCGGGCATATCGGTTGAGTGCACAATTCAGCTGCTAATTTAAACTAACTCGGATGTTTCTGTAGAATAAGAAAAAGAAGACACTATAATTTAATAGCACATTAATAACAGGTCTGCAAAAACAAATAAAAGAATTATCCTTTTATTGGTTTACGGTTCGAACCAGCTCCCTACCTCTGAGTTTGGTTCGTGAACTTGGCTTATGAAATATGAAAATATGATCTTAACTGTGTTTTGTTCGATTTGTAGTTAGAAATCAATAGAAATTCCAAGTTCGAACCGGCTTGCAGCCTTGATTATACAAACATCTGACCATCTTATTTATATAATATTTACATTGATATCTCTTTAGTTACATATCTATTTATTTAAGATCTTGCAACGCTCTACGCTTTATCTATCCATGTTGAGGGGCTCTTGAAATTCGTTGCTGTCCAACTGGAAGAACTTGAAATTGCCTTGGAGCTGCGAAAAAACCAATCCATGTAATTCGACGACAAAGATGTGCTAATAAATTTCAACTTAATTTCCGAAATGTGCATCTAACACATAAAAAGCTGAACACAAACACGAGCTGGCACTGCCCCCCAAACCCAGACCCAGACCCAGACCCACATCCAGACTCAATCTCAGGCATACAGCAGCCTGTTCCGGAAATGAACAAGAGCGGGATTGAAATTTAGAAGCAATGAAGAGGGGGGTGGGGGGCAGGGGGCGGGAGCCGAGCATCCGTGTCAGATTGAGTTGCCATGCGGCGTATTGTTCTTTGAGCGATCCAAGGATGGGCAAAGCAGGCGCAAAGTTTCAAGTATGGTTTTTGCATAAAACTTCAATTTAAATTGACATTTGAGTGGAAAGTAATTGCATGATATGCACAGAGAGAGAGTGTGAGCGAGAGAGAGCGAGAGGACATAAAAAAGGCAGCACCATCGACGGGCTGTTACTTATGGCCCTGGGTTCTGGGTTCGGCAGCGGAACTGGAACTGGAACTGGGCGAGTTCAGAGCTGGGCGTGTTTAATATATGAGCGCAGTGTTTGCAGCTACTATTTTTAGGCATTTAATGCGATTCCCAAGCAACCTCTCCCACTCTCTCTCTCCCGCTCTCTCTCTCTCTCTGCTTAGTTTCGCTTTTGTCCGCTGCCATTCATCCATCTAAAGCATTGCGGAAGGCTCTACTGAGCTCATTATGCGCTCGTTTATATGCCGAATTTGTTGTTGTGGTTCTTCCTTTTGTTCTTGCTCTTCTTCTTCACGTTGTTGTTGTTGTTGTTGTTGTTGTAAGCTTGTGCACATTATGGGGGTCTGGGTTTGGTTTTTTTTTTTTTTTTATTTTCAAGTACCGTTTTGGAGTGCGGGGTATATTTAAGCTGAATGCGGGCAATGCTATGTTTCTCTCTCGCTCTCTCTCTCTCTCTCCCTCTCTTTGCCTTACTTGCAAATTAAATGGCAATAAATTTGCATATTTTTTTTCGTAGTCGTAGATTTTGTGAAAAAGTGTCATTTTATTTTTGGAGGGGAGTCTTCCAATTGGTTTTTCTGGTTTTCGCGCAAGTTTTTCAATCGAATTGACCAAGTTTTAATGTTGCCAATAAACGTTGTTAATTTGTTTTCCTATCAAGCACATTCATTTATTTATTCATTCATTCCCTGCCCAATGGATTCGACTTTGCCCTATGTCGGCATTTGTCTGGAATTCTTAATCAGATTACAATTTTTAGCTGGGCTTCTGTTTTGCTTGTTTGACGACTAATGACTACTCAAATATCTTATCAGGCAATTCCATTTCAGTTTCCGATTGTAAAAGATTAAGTAATTCATTGAACCAGATGTTGCCCAGACCCCAAATTGTATTCCTCCATCAGTCACCTTTAAGAATTTTTTTTTATTTTTGCATATATTGTTTAAAATTATGACATTTCTACAATATATGTGTGTATGAATCCAAAACAAATTAAAATGCGCTACTCGAGAATGTCCAACAAGGAGATACCCTGTACATACATTATTTGTACATATTTATATATACATAACTACAAATGCATGTTTGTTCTCTTATTCCAATTCCAAGTTTCCTTCCCATTGAGCAGCAAATTTAAACAAAAACGTATTTTAAGTTATCACTCTTCTATGTGATTCTCATGAATTTAAGGAATTAAAAGCTTTCATGCTTTCATAGTAAGTGTTGTATTAACTTGGGTCGGCCCACGCTAATATAATCTCTCTCTTTCCTGTGTTCTTTCTCTCTCTCTCTCCATCTCTTTCTCTCTCTCTCTCTCACCCTGAATGTTTCTTTCCTCCTCTCTATTTCTCAATTTAAATTTCCCTCTTTGCTTTCTCTGCCTCTCTCTCTCTCTCTATCTCTTTCTATTTACCACTCTTTTTCTTTTTCTTCTGCTTCTCCTGCTCTTACTCTAATCCATTCTCTACCTCTCTTTTTCTTTCAGTATCGTTTGTCCAATTTGATGGTATTACTTTTGGGTAAGTACATATTTACATATGCATCTTAATATATATATAAAAGTAAGACTATATGCTAACGTAATTTAGAGTTGAGTTATCTCCTCGTACTATTATATTCACAAAAGGTTTTACATTCATAAAAGAACATCGTGCCTGACACCTGCCTTAACCATCCGAATCCACAGATTTGCGCTCATCATATCTGTCCATGGAGAACAGCTTGCCGAGATGCGGCGAGGACGGAACATCCTCAATGTGGGGCGTTGAGCTGCGACGCAGCATCATCTGCTGCAGCTGGGCAACATGACACGGCTCCAGCTGCTCCATGCAGCCGAAATAGAGCACATCTGAGATGAGCTTGCGGGCTAGGAGCTTCTGTCGGGGCGCCAGCTCGTCGAATTGGCTGCGCCAAGTGTGGGCGAGTGCCTCCGATTCGGAGAGTGTTGACAAACGCTTGCGCTGCTGCTGCCTGCAGGGCAGGGTGAGGGGAGAAGCGGGCGAGTCGGATCTCAGTTCGGCAGGTGCGGGAGATGCAGCGATCTCTTCTTTGACCGCTGTACGGCGCTTCTTACGACACGGCTCGTCGTAAACGGCGTGGCGCTACGGTTAAGGAAATGTGTGTAAGAGAGAGAGAGAGAGAGAGAGAGTAAGAAGAAAAAGCTCCTGGAGCTTAATTACCAAAGCTTCTGGTTCGGAACTGCTTGCCTTGTGCAAGCTCTGGCATGAGCTGACATCCTCTTGTCCCTCTAAAAAGCCTAGGAGCTCAAAGTACCACAGAGTCGACACGAATGGCTCCTCCTCGGTGCACTGATCACGTTTGCGCAAATCCCGCCGAAAGTTTGTGCGGAACGAATTGATTTTCTTGACCACCAGAGCGCGATCAGCGTGCGGCTCCACCTCGCGCAGCTTCTGCACCAGCTGCTCGTAGCCGGCGGACTTCAAGGCCCGGCTGCTGTACTCCGGACTCTTGACCTTCCACACCGCCGGCAATGATCGATAGAGCTCCAGGAATTCCGTCCAGAACTGTCTATCGCGGGCGTTCATGCTCGATTTCGATCCGGATCTTGCTTTGGATTTGATTTGAGCAACGTCGGACCCGTCCAACGTCCACAGCTCGAACTCGCGCGCAGCACTGAATACTCAACAAAATGGGCTGTGCTGAGCACAAGCTTGCATGCGCAAAATGCAAAATGTGGCGAGCAGCGGCAACATGCCTAATGAGTGTGCGAGCGAGATGGAGACAGAGAGAGGGGGCCACAACAACAATATGAGACGATGCTCGGCAACGTTTGTTGTTTGTGCAAACGTTTGCGCTGTGCGTTTTGTGCTGTCATTCGCAGCAGTGCTTATTTGATTGCGCTAAGCGTAAAATGAAGGAGAATTTGTATGCAGATGTATGTGTGTGCTCGTAAATAGACAGTTGACTTGCTTTGCGGCTAGGAACAGATTTGTGCAAAGAGAGAGAAAGTGAGAGAGAGAGCGCGAACGCAAAACCTTTTTCTTTTTGTAATTCTTGATCAGTTCTCTGCGTTAACAATAATACATGTATTTACATACAGATGTTTGTGGGCGAACTATCGATACAACTGTCGAAAATATCGATAGCACGTTCTCCGGTTCAATCAGCGACTATCGATAGAAATTCCCTGAAGCTGCTGTTGCCCACGGAAAGTGAACTCTTTGAAAACAATAAGAAGTCTGTGTGCAGAAATGTAAATTCCGACTAATTCAATTTTCGAACTGGGAACAAACTTTGGTCAGTGTCCAGCGAAGCTAAAAAGGTTAAATTTCAATAAGGCAGCCGTCCCTTTCGGCTCTCGTTTCTGCCAGAAGCCAGCTAAAGTTCCAAATTGTTTGCCCAGCGCAAACAGGCGATGCTTCAAATATTGCAATTCTTTTTGCTTTTGTTTTTGTTTTTGTTCTATTTTTTTTGATTTTCTATTTTATTCTGGTCCTTCATAAAGTAATTTAAATAACTTTATTTACATGCCAAATGCCAAATATTTGCCGGGATACAAATATTGATGCCGCGAGGACATTTAAACATGGCAGCAAACAGACAAACAAACGGAGCTCAAGGACCTACTGGATAAAGACATTATGCACTTGTTTCAATTATGCGTAGGAAATAAGAAAGGAACCCGGACTGCGGCATGGGAGACCAACTGGAAACGGAATTGAAGTGAAACTAAAGCCTTTTGCAAATAGTTGTTAAAATATGTCAATAACCTTCACCATTCGACCATCCCCCCCGCCATAGCCCACATCACAGAGTCGAACTTGTCCTGGAGCAGTTAGCGGGGTTTGGCATCAATGGCCAAAAGCCAACCCTCTTATTCTTTGGGCAAGAACTGCGAACGGAACACTTCTGGCTGTGTGGGCGGAGGGCTGGCTAACTTAGTTGGCCAGAGACATGGCAAGTGGGTGGAGCTGTGGCCAGTACCAGGACACCAGGGCACTTGGAGCCCCGGGTGAATGTATACACGAATAAGCGCAGAAAATGTTTAATTAAATTCCAGGACACATTTGGCATGTTACATTGCTTTGGTCGCTCGAACCACAGCCCGCATTTGAGTGGGTCGGCAAGGAGGATAAAATGCGGATGCCGATTCGGATGCGAACCTTCTGCTTATCCTTGTCGCACCGAACTAACTAACAGAAATTGTAATAAAAATACCGAAACGTAGCGACAACTAAGCAAAGCAAATTATGTTCCTCCTCCTTCCTCTCGACGTCTTTCTCTCTAATTCTCCTGGCCTTTGGTTAAACTATTGACATTCAGCTGCGGTTGCTCGGATAAGAAATTGGCACTGGCCCTGGCCCTGGCACCGAGGGTTGGTTCCGCCAATACCTTGTCCCAATTCACAGTTAACTTCCCGACATGCTTTTAACAAATGCAATGCGGACGAGAAGAGAAGATTAATTTAAGATTGCTGCGATGTGGAACAGGATAGGACAAGAAGAAGAAGCATCTAGACTACTAATAGGTTGAATTACTTTATATTTTTCTACTACCCGGTTTTGCTCGTATTCCAGCTCTCTCTGACAACAGTTTTTCACTGTTACGGGTGGATATATTGTATACGGTAAGAGGAACTCTTAGATATAGTTTAATTATTGTAGTACTTGAATTTAGGCGTGTTCTTCGAGACAATTCATTAGGATTAAAATGGAGTAATAATAATGAGCAAATCAGTTAGATAACAACAAACCGCACAAAGCCCGACACAACTGACAGATTGCCTAAAATAGAAGAGGAACAAGCTTAGGTTTCCTCTTGCCTGGAGCACCGAGCCAAAGTATCTAATCAAATAAGCCGGCAAATTGCGCTCTGCTCGTTTCTAACTCATCTGACAATAAGCCGGAGCTGTACTCGTAAAAAGTTATGACCATACGAAAATTTCAGTACTATTTTTTTTTTTTAGTTGTTTTTTATGTACCGCCATTTGTAAATCTGAAAGACGGCATCTGTATAATGTGATGGCCTTTTAGAGGCCAAGTCGGGCATTTAGGCAACGGTTTTTATGAGTATATGGTCGACTCGACTCGACTCGGTGTCTGTTAATGATTGATAAACCGCACGGGACCAATCAACACCCAGAGACCAATCCCAGCTCCATTGTCAGCTGCGTTTTAGGAAAAGGGGGCTTCCTAAACATGGCTCGGCTCCATGGCTTCGAGATGCACATCAAATTGGCTACATTGTCGTGAGTTTGAGGCTGCAGCTGAGGGACTGCGGCAGTTGCTATAAGTACGACTAGTTGGTATACCAGTTTCTTTATTACAAAAAGGAGCTTGGGTCAAAACCACAACAACAACGACGGCGACGAAATCGCAGCCAGCAGCGACGTCGTAAAAGAAAACAATATTGTAAATAAAGTTTAGACCCGAAGCCCAAACTGGTTTCAAGCAAACGAAAACAACAAACCAACCCAACAACCCAACAACAACCAACCAAACGACCAAACAACCAAACGTCTGACCGACCAACCCAACATCGTGACTGCGCGACTGTCGCTGTGCTTCTTCTTGTTGTTGTCGTTTTTGTTGTTGTCGTTTTTGTTGTTGTCGTTGTTGACGTTTTGGTCTTTGATGACTTTTTAACCAAAGTTGTTGCCTGTTGCCCGTTGCCCGTTGTTGCTGTCGATTTATATATATATTTTTTTTTATTAAAAAATACTTCTTTTTTTTTATTTTAATACCCTGTATTTAACCAAATATGTAAAAGCGAATAATATAGCTTTATTGTTAAACAGAACTATCAAAATAACTTTAAGCATCGCAAGGAACTCAGAGATATTGTTAGTTACATCTAAAATAATGAATCTTAACTCAAGGAACTCAAAGACGTTAGGCGCTAGGCTCACTCAATTTGGTAAGTGAGCTCTACATATAATTTCCAAGTAATTTCTTTGAATTCATCCAAAGCCTTGTCTTTATAAAAATTATGAAACTAATCTTAACTCAAGGAACTAAAAGACCAAAAGAGCTAGACTCATTAAATTTGGTATTTATTCATTGTTATTCGAGGAATTCAAAAAACATGAAAGTCGGAATTAGTAAATTTGTGATGTGGTTTTTATGTTACAGAAACTGTTTGCAGGGTATGTTCTAGTCGTATATTCTGAGCTGTTATGCTTTGCTTTTATTTTTGTTTTGGTTTTATTTTTATGTTATTTTTGTTTTTGTTTTTTTTTTGTATATTTTTGTTACCATAAAAGCAGTTAAACCACAAACCACATCCATTGCCGTAAAACTTCTTGTTCGTAAACAACAACGCTTGGACTTTGGGACAGACGCTTTGTTGTTTGGCTGGCCCAACCACTTCGGTTGTCTTGGCCCAAACACCATAAACATGAAACGAATCTAAGTCAAGAAACAGGTCTCAGACCATGGCTTAGACTTTATCTCAGTCTGAGCCAAGAACTAACCTAGGTCTAGCAACTAGTTTGACAACACGTTCTTGTTGTTGTTTTTTATATTTTTTATGCACATGCTTATGGCTTTTAAGATAAAAACTATTATGATTGGTGAAACGTGCAAAAAAAAAAAAACAATCTTGACAGCTCCACGAATGGAGGAGACCAAGTACATTTGCACTCCAGCACACGACCAACCCGCGTCCGTCCGTCCGTCCGTCCGTCCGTCCGAGACGTGAAATTTATGCTTTGGCATAATTAACTCCAAACATGATCTCATAAATTCATCTCGGCTGTTGTTTACTCTGGGCTAAGCTCGGGTCTGGCTTCTGCTGAAGTGGAGCGCACAGCTGAGTGTACTCCAGTTCTGGGAGTCTCAGAGTACTTCAGAGCGTGTGTATGTGAGAAGCTTAGGCTGGTCCATTTCCTTATTTCCTGTTCCTCAATTTTGAATACTCAATAATCCCTTTAGATCAGATATAATATATATTTAAAAGATGTTCACATAAAAATACACTCTCTCTCTCTCTCCAAACCAAAGAAAAGATAATAAATTCCAAATAAAGCCAGGCAGAAAGGGAATAATTATGGAATTAGCTAAATAGTCCCTTCCTTTTATTTAGTAAGTAAATTACTAAGCAAATTAAAAATGACTCCGTTTCAACTGTCATTTGGTATTTTCTGTTCATATGGGGGAAATTTTGAAGTGCTCACGAAGCGTTAAAAGTTGAGACAAAAGCGAAGGGGAAGTATAAACTGCAACTTCCCGAACTTAAAGAGCATTTTAAGCCGATTGACACACACACATAAATAAAGATCGGGCGTGGAGGAAGGCCTGGAAGTTGGCAGGCCTATGGTTAAATATCTATATAGAGAAATCATTGAACGGATTCGACAGCTAAACAAAAAGCATTGTACAATTTATTGCACTTTTCCGCTGACGGTCTGCCGCACAATCCTTTGTCATGCCCAGAGACCCAGACCCCAAAAAGAAAAATATATACAAAAATATAAAAATAAAACAGAAAAAAAAAAGAAAAACCGGCCCCCGACGCTGACCCAAGCCGTAGGCCCAGACCCAGAGCCAGCACAATGAAAACTCTTTCGAATGGCGCGGCGGCGAAAACAAAACAAAACAAAACAAAACGAAACGAAACGAAAACCTGAAATACGCTGCATGCAACCATATGTACTTATAAAGAAAAATAAATACATTTTTCACGAATTAACGTGCCCATTGAAGCCGAACAGCAAAAGGTTTTTGTAATTGATTTTCAGCGTTTGCACTGCCAAAGAAAAAACAAATCAAATGCAAGCGAAAAATCTTATACGTTAGGCCAACAAGTGAAACTGACCGACTAAGAGTTACCCAGTATTACCCACTTATTCTGTTTGATAACTCTCTCTCTCTCTCTCTCT